CCTGCCTTCCCCCCATTAGTGATGCTCAAGGCAAGGAACAATAATAAAATACAAATCAAACTCTTGATTAGTACATGATACAACAAACTACTGAAAAATACAACAATATACATACATTGTTACAACCTCTTAAAATGCTTATACCAATAGAAAAGCATATACAGCAAGACTTACATATTTGCCTCTATGAGCACATCTCTGCTGCCTGACAGAAGGACAACAGCATGGGCACGAGCCCAGCCTCCCCTGAAAAGGAGTTGCAGAACCTGGGGGTCATCCTAGAGAAGCCCATCTTGCAGCCCCATCAAGCAGGACTTTGTCTGTGCCATCTGTCCCCCAAGGTCTTAAAATACAGGCAAGTTCAAATGGGGGTCAGGAAGCATGATGGACTACAACTTGGGAGACTGGGATTCAAATCCCCACTTGGCCAAGGAAACCCATTCGGTGGCCTTGGGCAAGCCACATTCCCTTGGTCTTAGGAGAAAAACAAAGACAAGCCTCGTCTGGACAAATCTTGCCAAGAAAAGCCAGCAATAGGGTTGCCATTACTTGGAAACAACCTGAAGGCACATGACAACAAGTTCACATAGAAGAGTACTTTATTCATTCATTCATTTATTTATTTATTTTACAGTATTTATATCCCGCCCTTCTCTATCCCGAAGGAGACTCAGAGTGGCCTTACAAAGGCAACAATTTGATGCCATATACACAACAGACATAAAATAAACATTTACATTAAAACATGAATTTAAAATCATATAAAGATTAAAACACATTATTAAACCACACAATCCGGGATCATAGTCAAAAAGTCATTGCACATTTTCCACCATCACTTATTGCACTGCATTATTGGCCAAAGGCCTGGTCCCAAAGCCATGTTTTAACATGCTTTCTGAAGGTCAGGAGACTAGGAGCTGATTTCACTGGGGAGTTCCATTAGCCGAGGGGCCATCGCTGAGAAGGCCCTGTCTCTCGTCCCCACCAGTTGCACCTGCTAAAGAGGTGGGACCAAGAGCAGGGCCTCCCCAGACAGTCTTAACCTCTGAGTTGGTTCATAAAGGAAGACGTATTTGGACAGGTATGCTGGGCCAGAACCTTTAAGGCAGTGGTTCTCAACCTGTGGGTCCCCAGGTGTTTTGATATACAAGTCCAAGAAGTCCCAGCCAGTTCACTAGCTGTTATGATTTCTGGGTGTTGAAGGCGAAATATCTGGAGACCCACAAGTTGAGAACCACTGATTTAGGGCTTTATAGGTTAAAGCCAGCACTTTGAATTGTGCTCGGTAGCAGACTGGCAGCCAGTGGAGCTGACACAACAGGGAGGTTGTATGCTCCCTGTATGCCATTCCAGTGAGAAATCTGGCTTCCGAATAGTCTTCAAAGGCAATCCCATGTAGAACATGTTGCAGTAGTCTATTTGGGATATATTTCAAATAACCTGGTCCTGGCATGCTCAGTGTTTTATAACTGGGCTGAAAAATGCAGTTACTCGGACTGCTTTAACAAAAGTTTCACAAAGTCAAGTCCTGCAATATTTGAATCAGCTGAAGTTCTCAAATATTCTTCATGAAGACCACCTTACATGAGCCAAGTAATGTATGCATCATTTAGGCAAGATCAGGTATTTTCTGATTGATGAACGAGACTCAGTTCAGTGAAAAATTCAATCCTGGCCACTGACAGAACTTGGACATCTAGGTTTAGTATTAAATTCAGGAAGATACCCAGATAGATGGTCTGAGTCTCCAAAGGAGGTTTGATCACATCCAGCACAAATTGAATCTCTATTCCCTAGCCTACCTTTCCACTATCTAGGAGCACTTCAGCCTTGCCTGGATTAACTTTCTTTTTGTTCGCTATCATTGAGGCCACTCCGAATGAAGATGGAAAGGAAACAGATGGAAAAGAAAGATAAGAGTTGGGCATCATTATCATATGATAGCAACAAGCATCAAAGCTCTGGAAAATCCCTCCAAGAGGAATCGGGGAGAAGGTGGAATGCGAGAAACGCCATAGGTTGATGATATGTGTCTGATCAAAGCTTCCCCAGTACCACTACTGAGTCTGCCTCTCCTTCTCGAGCTACTATGAAACCAATTTCTCCAAGTCATTGTGAGAGATACCTAGAGTTGACACAGTATCAAAAATTAACAAGAGTACCATTCCAAGCTGGATCTAGATTATTTACTGCATCAAAAAAAAAAAGTAACTAGTGCTGAGCTACCACACACTCCAGCACTTACTGAAGACTAAAATATTGGAGTGGCAGGAAATGGTCCAAGATGGTGGGGTTCTCATTACAGAATGTGAATTGGCTTAGAAGAACACAAAATACAATCCAGAATCTGCTTAGTTTTGTGCCTAAGCATGTTTAGCTCCATTGGTTTTCACCATTTAAATGTGGATTTAATTTTGTTGCAATCAACAGGTTTTATTTCCATGTAAATGGAGTTAAATATAATAGTGTTGCTGGTTTAACATTTTACAGAATATGAAACGATTTGTCTATTTCAAGCCAAAGTCACTTGTTGTACATACTTGGCTTTCCATGGCATCCTGACCATTCAATTAAAACGCAAAATGCATTTCTCCTACCTATGGTCACACAAGTACATTAGTCTACACCAGTGGTTCTCAACCTGTGGGTCCTCAGATGTTTTGGCCTTCAACTCCCAGAAATACTAACAGCGGTAAACTGGCTGGGATTTCTAGGAGTTGTAGGCCAAAACACCTGGGGACCGACAAGTTGAGAACCACTGGTCTACATATATCATACACATCCTTGTCTACTCTCTTTCACACTCACAGAGACAGCCATGGTTGTCCCAGCTCAGAACAGTACACCTCTATGGGTTGGGGATCTATCATATGAGTTAAATGTATACATAGAATGATCTGGTAAAGAAACAAGCATATAGTTACGTCTGTTTACCAAAGCACGAATGTGTGTACATGCGCAAGGAGGCCAATTTCTTCCACACTTCCCACTGGGAAAACTACTTCTGCAAAATGAACTTGAACCTACAGGGCCAAAACCATGAACGAAAATGCCAGTTCACTAAAAAGAAGCCAGAGATATGTCAATCTAATAATAAATGTACGTTTAAAATAAACACAGATGTCGAGAACTCACACAGGCATTGTTTACCATTACAACTTTTTGTCTTTGAGGTTGTATCTGGGTTTCTTGTGGGGAACTGCTCTGAGCTCCCATTTGGAGGACATGAAAATGATACAATAAAGCAAATAAATAAATTCACAAATGTACAAACCGTGGTGCATAAGGTGGCAGAGATAGGAAATGTTTATACAGCATGTACACAACACCCCTAGAAAAGTGGCAGCAACTTTGCTTTGACTCGCAGCTTATATTAACTGTACCCGCATTGCTGGCAAATTTGTCCTTAAATGGGTTTTAGGTCAAGTCAGTGTATGTGTCCATAACCCAGAGATATATCTGACTGGCACAGTCAGCCACCTCTCCAATACAAAAAAAAAAGCCTGTGCCTGCACATTGGCCTTTTTTTTACACATCCTGGACACCTAAGGGTCAGGATAAGCGAATGTCACTCAGGTTCAAAGGGGGAAATGTGGTCAAATGAGCACAAAACAATCAAGAGAGCGGGAGATCTTTGAAGTGCTTGAAATGGAGAAACACAATTCATCAACACACATTTGGTCTTTGCTTTCCATCCTAGGTTTCAAGTGCAACCTCTTTCCTACAATGGCCACAAATTGCACATTCATTGTAGAACATTTGACCCCAGTTGCAGAGAGAGGACACCAAGCCCTGGGCCCACCACCAGAAAAATAAAACATAAAGGAGCGTGTCCTTTTCACCCACCGTGCTTTTTTACTCTGCAAAACATGCACCCAAGGTCACAGTAAACCAACAATGGAGAGAAGTCAGAGATTTTCAAATGCCAGAATGCTGGGTTCCCAAATCCAGACTTGTAAATAGCCCCATTTTGAACCTCAACTAGATACTTCATGATGGAGGAAAAACTCATCTAGGTTCCAGTCTTCAAACCAATGGCAGCCAACCTTTATTTGCCAACCTGAGAAGGCCTTTCTGATTCTCAATGACAGCTCAGCCAAGGAGAGGGGGAGCAGGCGATGGGCACGATCCCCCCTTCACGACAGCTCCACGGCATCCTCCTGCGGCCAAAATGCCCCATCTCCCCAGCCACGTGTGGTGGGGTTCCTGCCTGGCTGAAGGCACTGGGATCAGGGAGGGCAGTGGGGCGGGCGAGGAGGGAGGGAGGCTGGGGCGGTGGGACTGAAGCCTGTTTTATGGCACACACTTCCTCCGAACACGTGGATGCCATAGAAACCACATCCTGGAACCCCACCCAGAAAAACATCCAGTGGGAGGTGGACTCAGAAGTCTCCACCACCCAGGAAGGGGCCAGGAGAGGGTTAACAGAGCAGGCCTGGCTCCCTCCGATCCTGATGGGAACCCAATGCTGGAGAAAAATGTGAACTGCCTGCCATTTCCTGGAGCAGAGGGGCCACCCTCCCCTCGCCATCGCCCGCTCTCCTCTCCTGTCACCCAAACCCACCCTCAGGGGGAACCCAGGGGATCATTAATGGCCGGGGAGAGCCACAAAGTGCTGTGATTTCCACTGCCCCCCTGCCTTCTGCTCTGTCCGGCCTTCCTTCCCCCTTTCTTCCGCTCCCCCCTCATCACTCCAGGCTCCAACTCGCCCTTGGGAAGACTGGCCTTGGTGAAAGAGGGTGGATGGGGGTCACCAAGGGAACAGGGGCCAAGATCACCCAGCCCGCCATAGGCTTCTTGCCCTGTTGCCAGCCTTTCCACACAAATTAGCACAATCCTCCTTTTTGGAGATTCAGGGGAGGCCAACCCTTTGCTCCCCGCGCCTCTCCTCCCTGTCTGAACCAAGGACATTTCCAAGATCTTGGGAATAGGAAGCAGAAGGGGGCTGGCTGGTGTGGGGGGGGGGGGAGAGGAAAAATGCTGGATTGGCTCCTTACCTTCTTGTTGCTCTTGTTGTAGCCAAAAGTGGCAATTCCTGCACGAGGAGGCACAGAAAGGAGCATTTTCGCTTTAATGTTAGTGAGCTTGGGAAGGGAGGGGGAAGAGGGGGAAGAGAGAGACACACACACACATACACACATACACACACAGAAAAGAGAGAGAGAGAGAGAAAGAGAGAGAGAGAGAGTGAGGAGAGAGAGAGAGGAGACAGGGCTTCTGGCTTACGTCACCAAGGCAAGCCAGCCTGGAATCCAGGGCTAGAGTGTCTGCTTTCCGCAAGGTCCTAATGCTCGCACTGGGCAGACGGGCACAGCTCCCCCACCCAAAGAACTAGGGGGGAAAAAACTCACATTGAGAAAAATTTCAAGCATAAATGACAYRAGAGTCTGGAWACACAATTACACATTCCAGTTGCACTGAATGGAAGAAACAGTAGCACAGGATCGATCTGGCAAGTTCACTAAAGTCTCCAGCAGTCTATTCACATTGATACTACAAAAACAACACTACAAAAAAAATCAAGACAAGAAACAATCAGGGCCAGCTAACTGCCTTTGACTAATCGGTTCACCAGATTTGTCCCTATCTTACCAAAGCTCCTGCACTTTAGTTTGCCCTCCTGTCCTGTAATTCTGACACTTAATGTCTAAGGACATTACCCTCCCATCCCGGCCTTATCGAATTTTGCACTTTCCCTTGGCTCTATTTAGGAACCACTGCACTGCTATTTAGGAACTCTCAGCCCTCCAAACTCAGTATCTATTATCGTTCTGCCATGATATTGTTTTTATGATGTTTGCTTTGTTATTGATATGCTTGCACCTGATGTGTTCGTTTTGACTTTATTTTATTGTGCTGTTTTAATCTCTATTCTCTGGGTTTGTCCCTTTGTAAGCCACTCCGAGTCCCTTCGGGGAGATGGAGGCGGGGTATAAAAATGAAGTTGTTGTTATTATTATTATTATTATTATTATTATTATTATTATTATTATTCAAAACACAACAAGATGAGTCCATAGCAGACAAGATCACTCTGCTGACTATTGTATTACACCTCCCAAGAAAGGATTCCCCCAGGCAGGAAGCAGCCAGGCTTTGAAGTTGCAAGGCCATTCAATGCTAATCAAGGTAGCCAAGTGCAACATTCACGCTTGCCTCCGACAGACAAGAGTTCTTTCTCTCACCCTGGACATTATTCCACAGATATATAAACCCCACTCACACCTCTGATGATGCCTGCCATAGATGTGAACAAAATGTTAGGAGAGATTCGAGTAACTTTTACACTGTATTATGAAGCCCATTGTTTCCATTTCCATGCAGAAGACAGATTTCGAAGAGCTGGGAAGCTATGGACTGGTGTGAGATTGCAGCTCCCAATAGTATAGCTGGGAGGTAAACACATAGTAATTGCAGTCCAACACTGGCTGGAGGGACACTCATTCCTCTGTCTTGCAGCATAATATCAAATAGCACCATACATTTATGGAACCTAAACACATTTAAGAAGCATATCACTAAACCTCATGACTAGAGTAATATATCATACTAGAAAATACAGAAACCATATTGGATTCAGCACCAAGGGAGTTCTCACATCCTATATGGACCCACTTATGAGAACTGGTCTATTCCTTCCTCGCAGCCATATTCACCTGTAATCCCAGCTTCTGCCAACCTAGCAGTTCAAAAACATGCAAATGTGAGTAGATCAATAGGTACTGCTCCGGCAGGAAAGTAACAGCGCTCCATGCTGGCCACAAGACTTTGGAGGTGTCTACGGACAACACCGGCTCTTCAGCTTAGAAATGGAGATGAGCACCAACCCCCAGACTGGACTTAATGTCAGGGGAAAACCTTTACCTTTTTACTTCTTCCACTTCATCCGTTTATTTACCACCATATGGTAATTAAATTCTAGTCCCATCATGTTGAGAACACTGCAGAATTGCCATTTCCAAAATACGTTCTATGCCTACATAGTTAATTTTTGAACAAAGGAATTTTCTTTATATGTGGTAATTCGTAAGTCGTGCGGCCTCGTGACCCATCTACAGTCAAATCAAGGATTTTCCCCAACTCATCGTTCAGGAAGAATTGGAACAAAAGACAAATTAATGGAATAACCATCTTTTGTTTGCTTCTTTCTTCCAGCATGTCTCTGACATCTTGACAAATTGGCATACATGGCTCTTACCGTGTATATTTTTTCTTTTCATGAGTGCAGCTCCTTTGGAAACCAATCCTCATCACTGAGACCCTTCAACGAGAACAAGTACGAATAACACCAGACAGAATAGCAGTACTGAATCCATATCTATAGTGAAGATAAAGTCAGGATGATATATTAATCCAGGTTAGGAAGCATGTGCTCTTCCAGACAGGGTTGGACTACAACTCCCACCAGCCCCAGCCAGTATGCCAATGCCAAGCAATGATGATAATTGCAATCTACATCATTATTCGGTGTTAACTTTTATCCAGACCCAAACAATGAAACAAGTGATAAAGGCAAGTGCAGTTAGAATTTCCACTACTTGGAAACAGTAAGAGAACATTTGCTAGCACAACCCTACAGGGGAAATACTAGAGGCCATATAAAAACTATGTTCCTCAGTCTTCAGGGAGAAAGTTGTGAAAATAAAGCACAGCATCTTCCAGTACTTACTCTACAGCATCCCATACTACATTCTGAAGGTTAGCTGGCATTAGGGGCTACAAAGAAGCCTGGATGTAACTGTGGTGCCAACCCGTGCACAGAGGAGAAACATCTGCAGCAGTCTACAGTGGTGTGCAACTGGCAAATGTCCATTCCAATGGAACATAGGAGTCGGACATCTTGGTCTCAGATCCTCACCTGTGGAACAAAAACAACAGTGACTTCTCCCACTCCATTAAAATCCCATAAGGCAAGAATAGATGGAGAACCCATGGCCCTTCTGGGCTTGTTGAACACTAGCTTCCAACATTCCTGATCACTGGCTCTGATAACTGGGACAGATGGGAATTCAGGAGGGTCAAAAGTTCTTCCCTTCTGCTCTGGAACTTACATATTATTACAGCAATAATGATTCAAAAGGAGATCTGGTGTCTTCCCCTTCTACATGGCCATATAATCCAGATTATCAAAACAGATAATCTGCATTATCTGCTTTGAGCTGCATTATATGAGTCTCTAGAAACATTCTCTCCTGAAGTTTCACCTGCATCTATGGCAGGCATCCTCAGTGGTTGTGAGGTTGTCTACACTGCCATATAATCCAGTTCAAAGCAGATAATCCGGATTTTGCACGGCAGTGTAGAAAGGGTCTAAATTACATCACATCTACTTCCATTTACATTAAGATGAATGAAGCTTTCTCCAAAGATTATCCTAACCCTCTTAGGTCTAGAAGTCCATACACCGCCATAGTGTAAAATCCTCTTGCAAGTTTTCCATATAGGAGCAGAGCTCCTGCCTACACAAGTCTGAGTTCATTTATTAAATGTACGATAATTATATTTTGGAAATCTCTATAATTTTTTGGAGATTTTATGATCTTTGGAAAGGCATGACCTTGATAGAAGCCACAACGTGTTGAAAAGGGATGCCATAACCTTTTGATAAAATTGGAATTTGTGCAAGGCAATTAGGTTTCTCAGCTGTTCAACTGATGTACCTAGGCATGTCTTTGAACTTTTAGAGACAAAGAGATGTCAATGCACAAAAACATACATATATATAGCAGGGTTTCAGAAGTGTTCTTTTAGTTACCCCAAAACATCTACTCCCTTAAAATATATTTGTCTTTAAATCATGCTCTTAAGAGACAAAAATAAGCAGACTTCTTTAAAAGTAACATAGTTGGTTTACTCACAAACTTCATGTATTCACCATACAAGTACTTTGTTTATCAGTCCACTTACAGATATAATTTGACGTTGTTTCCCTATGTGGATAAGACAGGGCATCGTTCTTAGAATCAACAGTCCATAATATAAAGTATCACTCTGTTCTGAGAGTTTAATAGAGTCTCTGTCTAGTCTGAAAGTTCACTAGACTCTCAAAGCATACTGTTCCTACACTAAAGTCTCTAAGCATACTATTTCTGCTGAATTCTAAAGCAAACTGTTTCTAAAATGGAGTCTGAGTCCTGAACAAACCCAGGTCTGATCACATGGTCTGCAGCCCCTCCCACAACAAAGAGTTAAAGAACAAGATAGGTTCTGTAGATTTGTTCTGAAGCTGAATCTGCATGTCAGGTAGATTTTAAAGTGTAACTCCAGCCAAATAAATCTATAATTTTAGGTCTGGATAGCATAGGGAATGGTTACTACTCCTGTAACATTCGCTTTGCTGACTGTGTCCTTCTTAAGAAGATATCACCTCACTTTCTGTCCCTGTGATAATTGAATTCTGAAAAATTTGGCTTGTTGTGGAAACATGGATTGGTGACAAAGCTTCAGTGGAGACACATTTTCCCCATGAAAACTCTTTCAAGACAGAATTTCCCTTTCAAAGGGTAGATTTCTCTCAGTTCCTGTTGTCTCACCCCCGTTCTTTATCGTGAGTCATTTGTAAGTCAGATGTTTGTAGCTCAGAGACAACCTGTACTAACACAAACACAAAATAATACACAGGCACACAGTCACACATGTATGGAGAGAGATATTCTTGTACTAGGATCAGAAATAAGATTGGCAACTTTGCAACCAACTATAGCTTGGTGTGCAGGTGATGATTTCTATCTTCATATTAGTCATAATCCTCACCCATGACTTTCTGTTCTTTTAATGCATAGGAACAGAACAGAATGTTACCTCATTGATTGGCAAATGGCAACGATACATTCCCCTTCACTACACAATTAAATATTGGGGGTGGGGGAGAAAGTCAGTCTTGTATTATTATTTAATAGATTGAATTACAAAGATGATTAAAGGGTGTTAAGTGGCAATTAATCTGTGTTGAAAGTATACGAAAGTGTTCTCTTGAGCGGTTTGGCAGCAAAGGATAAAACATTAAAGCAGATAATCTCACTCTTTGCTGGAACTCCCTAGTCCTTGTAAATAGCTTTGCCAGGGTGCTCCTTCTCATTTTGCTCCTTCCAAGTGCTATACTTTCCAAGTGTTACCGCTTTTGGGTTGCTGTGAGTTTTTCGAGCTGTACGGCCATGTTCCAGCGGCACTTACTACTTCTAAGACTCACTCCCATCACTTGGTTCAGGCCCAATGGACTTCTCAATGGCCATAAAGAGCATTATG